AGAAGAAGATATTAAATCAAGATCTATACTTTTTTTTTTGTACTTGTGGTTTTAACACTTGGTTACAAATGCATCAAAACGCCATCAGAAATAATCACCAAAGGCCGACCTCCATCTCTGTATCTATGATGTCATATTTACTCTTACTAGAAATGGTTAATGATTCATCACAACAAGAAGAGGGGGAAAAAAATAGATTTAATGTCGGTAATTACGGCCCTTAAAGAGAATCGGAATCAGCTGCAGCTCAGAGCTTTAAAATCAGCTGAAAAACATTCCTATTAGCCCAGATCCATTATTATTGTTTTTTTTACCTGTTTGAAAGCAGGAGCAGGGGAAATGGGGCAGAAAATGAAAAAGTATCCCTAATCCTATTTCAATGTGACCTTTAACCTTTAATACTAGAACTACAAAGGCCGTCATTTTGACTGTTCTGAGATTTTAAAGGGAAAGAAATTAATTTACATTAATCATGTGTTGCTCATGTCAACTGACTTTTACCATTTATATATTTCCTTTATTTTCATGTAGTTTTTTTTAAATGAAATAAAAAAGTAAAACACAAATATGTTTATTTTACATCGATCTTCCACAGCCGTCATTTTGTCGTCTCTATTAGTTGAATTGTAAATTCTTCCCGCGGTGGATTGACGTTTGTACCGTTGCCTAGCAACATTCTACCAAGAACTCTTTGGCTAATATGGAAAAAATGGCTTCCAGAAGAAAGCTAACAGTGAAACAGGCTTTAGAAATGCTTCAAAATATTGAAGATGAGATTCGGGTGGAGAGGGACCGATGTGGACGACTGGTTGGAAGGAAGAGCTCAGATTCTGATGTTTGCCCATCCCCCGGGATCTACTTTAAGAAAGAAAAACCAATTTTGAACAGAGGGGGTGGACTTAGGGTCCAGCTTTCAAAAACTTACAACGCAGCTATTGAGCTAATCCCTTCTGTTATTGTAGCAGCCCCGCCCCCTGCAGCAAAAACGCGCGTGCTGCTTCATTTTTTATGCTTGTCCAAGTTTAGTTCTGATGCCAACTGAAGCATCTTTGCTGCTCTAGCTGAGCGGTGGAAAGTGGGTCTGATGCGCGTTGGGTGGAGCTACCCTATTATCTCTTTGCCTGTAACAATGGCGGCTATATTTGCTGTGATCAGTGGGTAAAAAGTAGTTTTAATATGTTTTTAAGTGAGGAAGTCCGCCTGAAAACTTCATCAGAGCAGGCAGTTCATCCAGATTACCATCCTGCATTTAAATATTATGTCTCTGTAGGAGCCGCTCAGACCCCCGTACACCGGCGGAGCTCTGTCACTGGGAATCCCGTTCAACAGCAGCCTCTGGCCCGGTCGCCGCTTTGCAGGTTGCCTCCGCGGCTTGAAGGCGTTTTTAATGCAGGTAATCCAAACTACAGGCACCAGGATAATAAAATTCAAATGTTTTTCCGGCAGATTTCAGAACTTTAAGTTAATTTAGGCGTTAATAAACTGTTTCAGAGGAGTGATCATAGCGCTCTGCATCAGCAGCTCTGTGTCTGCCTCCCTGCCAGCTCCTAGATCAGCTTCTCTGATTGGTTGATGTGGAGGATCCAGCAGCAAAAGTTACATTTTTCAGCAGTAGTTGCCTTTGCAGCGCGTCAGATATTCAGAAGCTCATAAGTTGCTGCTCCTGCTGCTCTAGATGTGCTGCGGGACCTTTTGCTGCCCCTCGATGAGCGTCAACCATTGACTTTGCATGTAAACCAGCTGCTTTTGCTGCCTGCAGTGTGAACAAAAAGTCTACAGTCTAACAAAAGAAGCCAAACGACCCCCATTCCAAAGGGGTGGATCCCCTCGTTTCAATTTTCATGTTTTCTAAACAAAAACAAGGTTTTGATGGGCTGCTCTATAAAACCTCGAACTCATTTCTGACATTTTGAATAGAAAAAGCTTCCTGGATGGGAAGCGAAACGACTTGAAACTTGGAAACCAAGTCCAGTGGATTTTTCTTATTTTTTGGAACTATACAATAGTGAAACTTTTATTCAAGTTTTGGATAGTACTGCTCGCACCTCAGCCGGTCCACTCAGTGGCCCAAAGTCACACCAGAGCCTGTGGGCTACTATGATCACACACAGGCCGGTGTGGATGTGTCGGATCAGATGATTAGAAATTGTTAGGATAATTATCACTGAAGATGTGTGAGTTTATTACATCTTAGTATTGGCTGCCTGCTGCGTGTCAGAACTGATGTTTTCCCTAGTAGTTTATCTAATTAGGCCAGTTTGTCTGTTCGGATACACAGATATAATCTTCATTCTGTACGTGGCAAAGATTTGGTAATGAAATGAGAGCGGTGTCCTTCAGCTAATAACAAAGTGTGATTCTGATAAGGCTGGAGCCATGGATGTCTCATCATCTGCTAACGTCTATGATGTAAAATATGATGATGTGGCAGACTGGAGTTGTATAAAATGCCTCTTTACCTGTTAATCGGGGCCACTTCCTGAGAGGTGAGCCCAATCGGTAAGCAGCTGCCTCCTGTAACTCTAAGCAACTTCTCTGATCTGAGTAAGATTACAATTTCTATCTAAATCTGTTGTCATGTCTCCTGGTTGTTTAATACATATAAGTTATGAAGTGTTATTTAAAGAGTTTGTTGTGAGTGATCTCTGTTCAGGGAAAAGAACCGGAGAGTTAGAGCATCAAGGTACATTCAGGGAGCCTATCTTTAACAAAAGTATTCTATAAAAGCTCCAACACGAAGGTGGCTTGTGGCTGTATTTTACGATCTGGACATAGCAGCTATAAACGCGTTGGTTTTGTTAGAGCTGTTTGAATATCACCGTCTCACGTAGAGATTTTAATCTTGAACTGCTAAAACCGCACGCTCATTCCCCTCCGTCGCTGAACGCAGCTTTGGCGAGGCAAAGAAAACATCGCTGCACAGAGAAACGCTCATATGATGTTTGTCATAAATGTGAAAAAGTGGCAATCAATCAATTTCTCTACATAAAATTGTAATTTCAAACTTTGAACCTGTGTAGTAAAACAGTCTTATTTTACTGATTCATTTTAAATACAAATTTAGGCCATAAATAATAATAGCGTTTGAAAAACATATTACATCTATATCCACAATGGGTTTATATCGCACACTAGAACCATCTCAGTTGGTGACATCATCACTATTCGTACGTTCCATTGGGAAAAATGTCGCCCGTCAAATTGACGGCCAGTGAGAGTTCTAGTAGGATCAGAATTCTGGGAGTCTTGGTGTCAAAAAGAGGTCAGCTTCTGACAGACCTGAGAGGTTCAGAGGCAGAAACCTTTCCTCTGCTCACTTCTCTCAGAATGTGGTGCCGTTCTGTTGATACCAGAACCATGACCTGCAGTCCACTGGAGCTTAAAGCCAGACAAGGACGGCAGGTTTGGCTCCACAGCTCTGTCTGACAACCAGATGTTGAGGTAAAATATCTAAAAATTCATCTCCTTTCTGTTCTCCCTGCCAGCATTTCAACCGCTACCTCAGCAGAAACTCCCCATTTTAAATAAATAAATCCCTCTTCAGAGCTTTTATTCACCACAGACCACCAAGGGAAGATTAATTACCTCACAGCATTAGTTCTGTTTTAGTCTCTTGCTCAGTACTTGTAATTATTTAATAAAACCAGCTGTTCGTTGAACCCGGGCTTTCTTTTTTTTTTTAAGTCGGAGTTAACGCTTTAACATAAATGAAGCACAACTGTGTTAAAGTGAGAAAAAGCACTAAAACCCTGATGGTGGCTCACAGTAAAACACTTGAACAAACGCCTCCATCATCTCCACAGCCTCTAGACTCCTAATGAGGCAGCTTGATAGCAGCCTGCTGGATGATATTTTATCCACTGGGTTAAAGAGAAGACATCAGGAGCTCCTGAAGAGACAGAAAAAGTCGCCTCATGGTTTTTATTGGACCAAAATGCTACATGTTGAACAGTAACTATTAAGCTGTGAGGTAATAGTTATATAATGTCTGCCTTGTTGACAAGTATTTTTTCATCATTTTCTAAAGGAAACATGCAGTAATTAAAGTCGTAGGGAAGAGACTGTTCCAACCACTGCAGTTCCATTCTCTATAGTTATGCTGCTATAGGCTTAGACTGCTGGAGGACATAGGAGCCCCTTTTTCATCATTCTGCTTCATTCTATCTATTCTCCCACTGCAGAATCTGATGAGTCAATGAGTTGATGCAATCAACTGGTTTTCCTTAGATAGAAAACTTTGAATCAATCTGACTGGATGATCTGGTTGAACTGTTAAGTGCCTTGAGAGGACATGTGTTGTGAATTGGTGCTATAGAAAAAAACTGAATTGAATTGAATTATAGGTGATGAGGCTGAGATTTACAGGCTGCAGAGCCTTAGAGAGGGAAGCACCTGTAGAAACTGACAAGGACTCCAGTGCGTGCAGAAGGAAAAAGGAGGGCTGGGTTAGCTTCTACCTTGTCATATTTGGCGACGATATCCGCCCGCTCCTGGTCCAGTCTCACCGCTGCATCCTGCTCCGTATCAGAAGCTGGAGATAAAAAGAGGGAAAAGATTAGAAAATGAAGAACAAATAACGCCCAAATGGCTTTAGATTCATGCTCCTTCAGGTCTGCAGCTACTTCAGGAAACATGTTGGGTTCTGTGGCTCTCTGGGCTGCTTCTGTCCTTCTTATATTTGCTCAAATTTTTTCTGTTTTTTAAACTTTTTCGTGGAATGACTGAGAATCTTCACCAGCTTGAACTGATGGTGTTTCTGTGTGTAGAGAAGCAGCAGATGGACAGATCAGGACCGGTTACACTAAACAGAACAGATCGGTCCAAACTACAAACCTTTTAACTTTCCACCAAAGATGAGAAAACCTTAAACTGAGGACCAGAAGGAGAGAAGAGATCAGGAGCGTCTAATGTTGAAAGAATGTCAAACTGCAACAATGCTGGATTTAAAGAGGTTGAAAAGCATAAAGTCTTCTAGTTTCGGCTTTCCTCCTCATGTTCCTAACTAGCTGCCTCGACATGTCAGATTGCTGTCCTGTCACCACAGGCTCGCTTTGTGTCACTCCAGCCGGAAACAAACACCAGTTCTCTGAGCTGCCAGAGCAGAGCCAGCCTGACCTCAGAGATGTCTGCGATTAACAAACCAACACCTCAGAGCTCCTCTGAGCTGGAAACCAGATCCAACAACATCCTATAACAAACCCCATCGCCACTAAAACCTCCTCCTCACCTCCTCATTGCAACTGAACTCTACCTGAAGCCATAAATCCCCCAGACCGATGCCCCTGTCTCCACATGCAAAGAAAGACAGCAAGCTTCAAATCACTTTCTTATGACATGCTTTGGGTTTCATGGGTAACTTTATCAGAACTGATTCCCTTCAAGAAAAACTGAGCTTGAAAAATAAAGATGGACGTAAAAATCTCAGCTTTAAAAGGTGAAAGAAAGAACAGAACATTAAAAGGATAAATAACAGTAAACCATCAAACTTGAAAACAATACAAATATCAAGAAGTCATTTCAAAAATCCAACCAGAAAAAAAACCCAGACCTTAGATAAGCGGAGTGCTGTATGCATTGCAATCAGAGGCGACTGCATACACTGGATGCAACAGTCTCTTCACAGAAACGTTTTCTAAGGGTGGCCGGGCAATAACCAACCTTAAACAGAGGGGGTGGACTCGGGTTCCAGCTGTCAAAAAACCTAAAATGCAGCAATAGAGTTGATTCCTTCCTTAGATCACATGTGGGGTTCCTCAAGGCTCCATTCTGAGGCTCCTCCTATTCACCATCTACATGCTCCCAAGATCAGTTACATCAACTAAGCAGATGACACACAGCTTTACATCACAAAATCACCAGGTGACTATGAACCCATCAGATGGTTGGCTAAATGCTTAGAACAGATCAATATTTGCAGAATTTTCTACCAATTAATAAAAACTAAACTGAAATAATAATCTTCAGAAAGGAGGAGAGATCCAGAGTTAGCTCACGGCTTCAGCTGCTACAGCTAGAAACCACTGAATATGGCCTAGATGACATGATGGACCTGAACCTTCAGAGGTGCATTAAGGCAGTGACTAAGTCAGCCTTTTATAACCTGAAGATAAAAGGCAAATAAAGATCTAAAAAACTCATTCACACATTAATCTTTAGTAGAATTGATCACTGCAACATTCTCATCATAGTTTTGCCTAAAAAAGTCCATCAGACAGCTGCAGCTGATCCAAAACTCTGCTACTTGTGTCCTCACTAGAACTAAGAAAGTAGAGCACATCAGCCCGGTTCTGAAGTGCTTCAACTGGCTCCCTGTAGCTCAGAGATTAGACTTTAAAATCCTTCCGTTAGCCTAGAAATCACTGAATGGATCAGCACCTCAATGCATTATAGATCTATTGTCAGTGGATCTACCTTCCAGATCGCTCAGGTCTTCTAGTTCCAGCCTACTCTGTTCATCCTGAACTAGAACCAAGCCTGAAGAAGCAGCATTTGGTTCCTGTGCTTCAACTGTTTGTTTTACTACCTGCTTTTATCATTTTTTTATCTTTAATTTGCTTTTATTTTTCTTCTATTTTATTGTCTATTTTACGTAAAGCATTTTGAATTCTGCATGTACTGAATGGTACTGCATAAATGAACTTGCCTTGCCTTTAACTGCTGGTTCAGAGCAGTGAGCAGCTCTGAACACGGATGCTGTGAAGTGGGGTCATGTTGTGTTTATACTGAAGCTGGCAGTAAAGGAGGTGTTTGAAAAATCGCAGCTTCCTGCAGGAAGACGGATCAACCTTCAGAGCTGAAGGCTTTATTTTCCACAGTCATTGTTAAACACGCATTGAACGAACAAACCCAAACAGGCTTTGCAGAGATGCAGCCAGTCTGAAACCTCCTTTTATTAAACCCTTTATCTTTTTAAGCTTCATTTGCTGCAACGGTTTCAATGCCGAGATCAGCAGCTGCATCTTACAATCAGTGCAATTTAAAAAATAAATCAACACTTAAATTCAGTAATTTAGTTTAAAAAGGGGACTGAGTATAACCAATGGATGTCCTGGATGGGATCAGCAATTTTCAGCTCCAGTTTCTGCCTTCTGATTGGACGATCTGTCACCCATTAGAACCCACTGGTTCTGATAAATAGAATCAGTTGGAGCTGTTGAAAGCTTTACTGCCTGAACAGAAACCGTCTGGTTAGAGACGTCATCCAGACTAACACTGCTTTGGCATCAGAGAGGGAACTTTATTGAACCTCACTTCCTGTTTTTGCCAACAGAAAAGGCTGATTTATACTCATAAACCAGGTGTGTTGCAGTTAACGCAGATATGCCCCGCCCCTTTCGCAGACACTCTGATTAATCTCTCCAAAATCGTAGGTGACCCCAGACAGTGCCGCAGACAGGAGGCCTCTGATTGGTCAAATCTACATCCACTCTACATTATGCACATTTCCTGTTTGGTATCTTACCAGTTTGTTTTGTTTTTATGACCGCCATTGTGGAAAATGACTCGTGAAGATGGACGAGCTAGTAGAGCGAAGTGCGCGAGATCGCTGGGACCCTTTTCCACCTGGATCCTCGCTCTTCTTCGCCCTCATGTCCCTCCATTGTCACACAAGCTTGCACTTCCTCACCGCTTCGGCCGTATCTAGACCCACAGCTAGTTCCTGATTGTCCTTCTTGCGTTGCAGACCATGCTTCAAAATTGGGCATAAATCAAAAATATCTGCATCAAGCTCACTGCGACACACTGCTGCAGGAGGATAACCAGCCGTTAAGGTTTAGGAGTAAAGTGGAGGTGAGGTTCAGGTTAGGGATGCATCAAAGTTTTAGATTCTTGTCTATATAACCGTTAAATTACACTTTTGTGTTTTAGGTTTTGAGCCTTTAGCTTCTCTATTTTTATCGTTTGAGAAAAGGAATTAACAATGAAATAAATATATAGACCTGAGGGACATTTGATGACGAATCAAAAGAAAAAAATACATATATTATTTATCTTTAGAATAATTGTTAGTTACTACTTATACTTCAGTGATCAAGGTGTTACTTTATTGTATCTCTTATAGTATATCTGTTGGTTGTGCTGTTCTTTTAACATCTATTTGCAGGCGATGAAGCAGACTGAAAATGTTTTATCATTATCTCCTTTTTATCTCCTCTTTCTTTCATCTTTTCTCTTTTTTTTCCGTTTTTCCTTTCCTGCTCTACTTACATTGCAGTGTCCATATAATCTATAAAACTCCCTGCATGAATTATTATTAGGAATGCACCGATCCAATATTTATATCGGTATCGGTCCAGATATAAAGAAAAAAAAACTAGATCGGTATCGGTGACAATTGACTTGATATAGGGGCCGATCTATTCATTCTAACTCTATGCTATGTTCTGCGGTCATGCGGCAGCGCGACAACACAACACGGCCATATTGTTTATGATGTGTGGAGATTTTTCACGCTCTCTCAGCCTACTAGCCCAATGGCTACGTGCAATATTTGTGGGAGAAATGTTCCGAGGGACGGTGTTAAATCTTCTAACTATAACACCACCAACTTAATGAAACACCTCCAGAAGTTTCATAAAAAGGAACATGCTGAGATTATCGGACTCGGCAAACAAAAAGGAAGCAGCGGGAAGCAGCTAACTTTGATGGAAGCAAAGGAAAGAAGTTACATTTTTCCCATGTAACAGATACAGGCCAAAAAAAATCAAAGAGATGATACTTTTCTTTACATGTTGACCAAGTCAGAGAACTTTTGGTTTAAGATTTTGTGCACAGTTGTTAAATAAATAAGTCATAACATTTATATTCGGGTTGTTTCCTTTTTTTCTTTTTCTTTTTTTTTAAGAAAAGGGAAATCAAATGATACGCACAGAAGAATGATCCCAGTTTTTTTATTTTATTTCAAACAATAAAACTATTTTTTAGGTAATAATTTAGGTCTGTTTTTGGTATCGGTATCACATCGGTATCAGCCGACATTAAACTTCAAATATCGGTATCGTATCGGAGGTGAAAAAAGTGGATCGGTGCATCCCTAATTATAATTAAGCTATTTATATGCATAAATCAAGCGGAACACTATGGCGATAGCTAGGGATGCACGATATAATCGGCCCCCTATCGGTATCGGCCTGTATCGGCCTTAAAACTGAATATCGGACATCGGCCACCCCACCGATATTTAACCCGATATTTGATCAGCTTCTGAGTTTCTAAAGTCTATCAAACCAAAAAATACTACTTCTTCTTCTTCCTCAAAAACTTCTTTTTTACAGACTTAAAAACTTCTAAAGACGAGGGAAAAAATATCGATACATTAAAATATCACAATATCTTCATATGCTGATATATTGCCATTTAAAAACACCATATCAATCTCTTTTACTAATGAAATATTGCTATATGTCATCGTTATGCTACGAAATCCCCCGAAAATTCACGAAATTTTGCCATATTTTTATATGTTGATATATTGACGCGGTATCGATCTATTTTACTAACAAAATCTCACAAGAATTTGCTAAATATCAC